AGATTCCACACTGTTCATGTATTCAATAATTAGGTAAAGGTGAAGGTTCCCCTCGTACATATGTGCTAGTTGTTCCTGACTCTAGGGGGCGGTGCTCATCTCCGTTTCAAAGCCAAAGAGCCAGTGCTGTCCAAAGACTTCTCCGTGATCATGTGGCCAGCATGACTAAATTCTGAAGGTGCATGGAACACTGTTACCTTGCCACCAAAGGTGTTTTTTTTTCTACTTGCATTTTTACATGCTTTCGACCTGCTAGGTTGTTAGAAGCTGGGACAAGTAACGGGAGCGCACTCCGTTATGCGGTGCTAGGGATTCGAACTGCCGAACTGCCAACCTTTCTGATCGACAAGCTCAGGGTCTTAGCCACTGAGCCACCGCATCCCCATAAGGAAGTACTAGATACACTATAATCAGACACACAAATTGTGCTGAGTTTGCCAGCATCCAGGCTCCAAAAGGATCAGGGTCATTTATGGTTCAGCATCCTGTGAGAAGCCAGCCATGGGTTTCAGCACGTAGCATAAACCAGGTCATCACATGATGTTAAATAGGATTGATTCGTCTGGGCACAGCAGGCATTATAAACAAAGCAATTATACTTTGTTAGCCCAGGTTGAGCATTAAAGTCAATATGTCAATCAGCAGACTGGATAGCCAGAACTAAATGCTTCCCTATGGCTGGAGTGGTTGGGTCTAAGGAGCAAAATTGTGAAGAGTCCCTGGTCTTTAACAAATAAGGGCCACACAATCGGTTGCTTGTTCTTGTTGTTTCATTTTGTTTTGCTCTCGCATTCCGAGAACACAAGGAGAAGCTGCAATGCACACAAAACGGCAATGGGGCCAGAGAAGAGAAATATTTGCAGAAGTCCCCGAGAACTACTAAGATTCCAAAATGACTCAATCGCTGCACAGACATTGCTGCAGAAATGGGAAATTGTTCCTTCGAAGCTCTCTTCTCTCTCTCCCTCCCTCTCTCCCTCCCGCCTGTTTTGGGGGAGCAGAACTGCATGTAACTCATTCAGCAGAGATCTCAGGAAGCTGCCAAGTCAAATCAATTAATCCTGTTACTATTAAGCAATGCCTGCCATGATTGCAATGACTATTGACATCATCGGCCTTCTGGAGTCTTGAGCAGAAATTTTCTTTGCCTGGCAGACGCCCAGAACCGATGCTGAAACCCTCAACAAGCAGAATCTGTCCTTAATCACTCAGCTCCAGCGGCTGCCCTCCTTAACCTCACACCCGAACTCAATTTAGAATGGGTGGGCTACCGGGTTACTCAATCCAGAAAAGTCTTCTCCATCCCCCTTCCCACTTTGATGTGCTTCAGAAGATGTAACCACTGCTGACAGTTCTGGGAACTTAAAGGCCAAATAATCCGAAAGAGGTGAAGCTCATGTCCTACTCCGGTGTTTCCCAACCTTGGTAAGGAACCTATTTTAAGACACCAATTCCTCATTTAAGAAAAGCCGGCTGGGGAATTCTGGGAGTTGAAATCCACGTGTCTTAAAGTTCCAAGGTCGAGAAACACTGTTCTATTCATTACTAAAGACCTTTAAGTGGAACTAGCAATAGCACTTAGACTTATATAGCGCCTCACAGCACTTTACAGCCAGTAGTTGAATTCAAGTAATTTAACAACCAGTTCTCTGCCCTATTTATTCCAACACCCAGTTTGCCAAACTGCTCAGAAAGTTAACCACCGCTTCTCCCAAAGTGGTGTGAACTGCCTGAATCCCACCACTGTTTACAGCCCTCTTTAAGCGGTTTACAGAGCCAGCACATTGTCCCCAACAATGTAGGTCCTCATTTTACCCACCTCAGAAGTTTGGAAGAATGAGTCAACCTTGAGCCGGTCAGGATTGAACTCCTGGCAAGCTGGTCAGGATTGAACTCCTGAACTCCTAGCCTGCAATGCAGCACTCTAACCCAGGGAGGGAGGGAAGGAAGGAAGGAAGGAAGGAAGGAAGGAAGGAAGGAAGGAAGGAAGGAAGGAAGGAAGGAAGGAAGGAAGGAAGGAAGGAAGGAAGGAAGGAAGGAAGAAAGCAATAGCACTTAGCCTTATATACCACCTCACAGTGCTTTACAGCCCTCTCTAAGCAGTTTATAGAGTCAGCCTATTGCCCCCAACAATGTGGATCCACATTTCACCAAACGCATGAGGATGTAAGACTGAATCAACCTTCAGCCAGTCAGGATCAAACTCCTGGCAGTTGGCAGAATTAACCTACAATACAGCATTCTACAGTGGGGACCCAGCTGGATAATATGGGTTCTCCCTCAACGTCCAGAAGGCTCTTCTTGGGTCTTGCTTCTAAGTTGGCCACCAGGAGCTACATCTCACCTCGGCTTCCCAGCAGGGCCATCTCTTGAGTTGACTCTTAAGGGAAGGCCGGGGTACTTCGTCTTAGGGGACTCAAGCTTACCTTGGGGCTTGGGTGCCTCCGTAGCGTTGGGGGCGGTCATGGCAATGCAGACATCGTCTTGGGGGAACTGGTCGCACTTGAGCATCTCGGGCCAGTAGAAGCCAAAGAACTGCATGACGGGCTCGCAGGAGTCGCGCACGGCCTCGCAGAGCCAACGGCAGGGGTAGATGGGCCGGTCCAAGCAGATGGGGGCAAAGAGGGAGCAGAGGAAGAGCTGAGTGCCAAAGTGGCAGTTCTTGTTGAGCAAGGGCACCCAGCTGCTGGCTTGCTGCTTGACCTCGGCCATGGTCTCGTGGTCCAGCAGGTTGGGAAGGACCATCTTGTCGTAGCCCACGCTGTGGCAGAGGCGCAGGTCGGGTGGGATGGCCACGCACTGCGGGGGCTTGGTGTAGAAGCGCCCGCTTTGGTAGGAGCTGATGTCCGACTGGAAGCTGACGTAGTCGTACTCGTTGGCCCCGGCCAAGCCAGGCAGGAGGAGGACGAAGGAGAACATGCCCAAGCCTGCCCAAAGCATCCTCAGGGCGCCCCAGCCGCGACCTTGCGCGTGGAAGGCGATGCCCATGCTGGGAAGACGGGAGAGATGGAAAGGGCGATGGTCCGCACTCCGCCCGCCTGGCTCCTTCGGGAGGGCTGCAAAAAAGGGGGGGACCCTCACGAACCCCAGTGGGAGCAAACGGGGGACCCCCGCCCGGAGCGTCCTCTCCTCCTCCGGCCGCCTCGAAGTTACTTGCCTCTTGGGTCGGGGCAGCCCAGCGCAGCTTCCCTGCCCGGCGGATCCCGAAGCGAGCGAAAGCGCACTTTCTCCCCCGGAGTTTCGGAGCCCTTTTCCCCTGCGCCAGCCAATCCGCGACCGCCTTAAAACTCCCCACTCTTTTTTTTTCAGACCTCCTTCCTTCCCTCCCTTCCCTCCAGCCCGGGCTACAAGTGTCACTCAATTAGCCAATCGCCTCTCCGGCGTGGGACCCCTCCCTCCCTCCCCTTGGCGCTGTGGGGGGGAGGTGAGGAGGGGGAAGAAAAGCCCGGCGGAGGCTCCTCTCCGCTTTCCCCCTGCGATGGGTAGCGGGGTTTGGGGAGCGTCCGATAGCACAGAAAACCCCCCACCCTCTCCTTCTCCTCCTCCTCCTCCTCCTCCTCCTCCTTCAGAGAGGTTTGCACGCGGGGAGGATCATTCTGCCTGCCCCCCCCCCTTCCATGCGCTCTCTCTTTCCTTCCTCCACAGCTGGCTGCCTCGGAGGTCAGCCCAGGGAGCGCCTTTCGGGAAGGGAAGGGAAGGGAAGGGGAAGGGGAATGGAATAGGGGAAGGGGAAAGGGAAAGGGAAGAGAGAGGAGAGGAGAATGAAACAGAATAGAACAGAATCTCAAATTTTAGAATCCAGAGTGACATTGTGTCCCATTCCACATTGGTGTCTATGACAATTAGTTGTAGCCTACCTACTGCAGGACAAGAGTTACACTCTTTATTGAAGACAAGAAGAATAGAATAGAATAGAATAGAATAGAATAGAATAGAATAGAATAGAATAGAATAGAATAGAATTAAGAAAGAATAGAGTAGAATAGAAATAGGAATAGAATAGAATAGAATAGAACTTGGAGTTGTTCCAATCCAGCCCCCCTGCTCAAGCAGGGGAATCTATACTATTTCAGAAGGGGAAGGGAAGAGGGGAAGGAATAGAATATAGAATGTAACAGAACAAAATAGATGGAAGGGACCTTGGGGGTCTTCTAGTCCAGCCCCCTACTCAAGGAGGAGAACCTATCCTATTTCAGATAAGTGACTGTCTAGTGTCTCTTCTTAAAAACCTCCAGTGATGGAGTGATGGGAAAGTGGGAGCATCCTGCAAGTTGCTTCTCAGTTTGCTCCGAAGAGACCCTCCATCCGAGTTGGGCTCTGCTTGCTTCACTCTGGCAGAGTAAATGGGCCCAAGACAGCTTATCTTCACCCCACATGCCGAGCCATAAATCCTGGCTGCAAATCATGGGCCAGCCCGAGACTCCCGCCCCCAACCCAAAAGCAAAGCTTATGAGGGCTTAGTAAGAGGTGTTAATTTACTAAGTAGAGTTCCCTGCTAATATAAACTGACTGAGGAAATTCTGAGGATTCCTTAAAGCTGGGTTTAAGCCAATGGTGAAATTCAATTTTTTTACTACTGGTTCTGTGGGCATGGCTTTGTTGGCATGGAGTGGCTTGGTGAAGGATACTGCAAAATCTCCATTCCCACCCCACTCTGGGGCCAGCAGAAATAGCATTTGCCGGTTATCTGAACTACTCAAAATTTCTGCTACCGGTTCTCCGAACTATTCAAAATTTCTGCTACCAGTTCTCCAGAACCTGTCAGAATCTGCTGGATTTCACCCCTGGTTTAAGCCCAACTCTATGTTGGTTTGAGTTCAAACGAATCTTGGTCTTCTGGACACAGATTGGAAGGGATCAAGCTGGAGCCCGATCCCAAAAGAAGGAGCCTTAACAAGAGTGCACACTATCCTTCATTTCGTAGACTGGCAAAATAGTGTTTTGGATCCTCCAATGCCGATTGAGGGCCCTGCTTGTTGGAAAAGAAAGAGATGGGCAGGTGTTCCAGCTGGGTTTAGAAGAAGCCGAGGAGCACGAGACAACGTTGCTGATGGATGCTGGACAACACCGAAAAGCCAAGCTATACACCAAAAAGAAGTTCCTCTACATTTAGTTTGTTATAGAAAGGCCTTCAGTTGTGTCATTTGTGTCAAGATGTGGATAGTGTTCAGAAAAATGGGAATCCTGGGAATATATAGTTGTCCTTCTGAAAAACTAGTATCGAAATCAGGAAGTCACAGTATGAACAAAACACAGCAATATGGAGACTGGCTCCATATTGGCAAAGGGATAGGGATAGGGATAAGCACCAATCTCACACTATTCTGATGATATCACCCTGGCAGTCAAAAATGCATTGGATCTGCAATCTCTTGTATTAAAAGGAGCACAGTGGGGAAAATTGGAAACTTTGAGACCCCTCACAAGGAACAGATTATTTAGGGCAGGGGTGTCCAACCTTGGCAACTTTGAAGACCTGTGGACTTCAGCTCCCAGAATTCCCCAGACACCATGAGAGTTTGAAACCACCGGTCTTAAAGTTGCCAAGGTTGGAGACCCCTGCTTTAGGGGATGTTTTGCTTTGTGTTTGCTGGCTAGCTTTGGGGAAAAGGTCAATCCGTTCACCAGCTGCCCATCCCTTCTTCTCCAAAATCTCTGTGAGGTCCTGACACGCAGCCAGTCCAGGGAGTGTCAGGCAGAGTGTTACTCCCTCCCTAATTTGGACAGCCTGTTGGGAGGTCCCTCTTCTGGTTTTGCACCCCACAGCACCAACTTTCCGCTTCTGCTTCTGCTTGGAATGCTCGCTCGTTCAAGACGCATCTGGGAAAGTTGGCTGGAGTTTGTCGTGCATCCAAGAATTGGCAAGGCCTGAGCAGCAGACAGGCTGCTTCTGTTGTTGCTACTCCTGCAGCAGCAGTTGTGGCACAAAAAAAATCTGTTGTCTGTCAGGCAGAGAAATGCAGAAATGCAAGAAGGGAGCTGCAGGGAATGATCGTGTGTGTGTGTTTGTGTTTGTGTGTGTGTGTGTGTCTGTGTGTCTGTGTGTGTGTGTGTGTGTACCGTATTTCCCCGAAAATAAGACAGGATCTTATTTTCTTTTGAACCCCAAAATAAGCGCTTGGCCTTAATTGTTGGGAGGTCTTATTATTTTCAGGGTGCAGGACGTGGCAAGTGTGGTCACCTCATGGCTGCTGGTGTGCTGCAATACTTTCGGGGAGGGCTTATTTTAGCACATGTGCTCAAAAGCCTGATTGGGCTTATTATCTGGGGAGCAGTGGTGGGCTTCTACTGGTTTGGATCGGTTTGGCCAAATCAGTAGTGGTTTGGTGGCCTGGGTCACTGGAACTGTCAGTGACCCAGGCTTGCCACACCCACAAACCAGTTCTTTGGGTGGCGCCATCTTGTTTTTTCCTTCTGCGCATGCGCAGAGCAATTTTTATTGCACTGTGCCTGTGTGCATGGTGTGGCCATGAGCAAACCAGCAGTGGCGACTGCTGGAACCCTTTCCTGCCGGGGAAGTCTTATTTTCAGGGAAGCAGGGTACACACACAAATATTGCTGTGTTATTTTGTAGAGGTAAATCTATGCCAGCAGCAGCAGATCATCAAGAGTGTCTCATTGGCTAGTGTTTGAATTCATCTATTTCCAACAGAGGGGAAGGCAAGGGAACTTAGCGAGTTACGTGTGCCCAGCCAACTCCAAAGCTTATTCAATAGAATGCAGTTAAAGAATTCATAGCTTGGCACAACGTAACCTACCCAGCTGCTAAGACAAATCCCGTCCAGGCTTAGTACGATGCAGGAGTTTGGGTCCATCTGGCTGGTAGTTAGTGATTCTCCAGAATTTATGCAGGAATTTTTCCAGTCGCCTGGAAATGCGAAGGTTGGAACCTGTGACTTCTTGCATGCCAACATGCATTCCATCGCTGAGCCTCAATCAGGGTATACAGTTGAGTTCCAGATTTTGTGGACTTCGTCTTCCATTAGCTTCTATACCAGCACTTTCCTTGGCAAGGCATTGGAAAGGGAATCAAAAATGTCTACCATGTTTTGACCTCCGAAATAAGCACTTGGTCTTATTTTCGGGGAGGTCTTATTATTTTTTTTGAAAAGTTTTTTTTTATTTTAATTGAACAAAAATACAAAAAAAGAATCATCCTTCATTACATCTTGTAGAAAGCGTGTCGATTGGTTACAGATAACTTTCGTGCATTTCTTTCAGAGTCATTACTTATAGTTCATATTAGATTATACACTTTACATCAAAAATCTTTGTATATTTATTGTACAGTTGTAGAGACTAATCTGATATTGCATTTAATAACTGCAGCTAGATTGTTGTTGGCGCAATACTGGAAGAAAGAAGATTTGCCTACTATTCAAGACTGGACATTGAAAGGAACAAGCCTAGCCAAGATGGCCAAAATATCTGCATGTCTTAAGG